ACGCACTGGTTTGGGAGGCTGTTCAGTCGACTTTAGAGAGGTCAAAGTTCAAAGGCATGAGCCTCTTGTTTGGAAAGGACACTGAGAATCAGTTTTATGTTCCGCAGTGTTGGATTCGGCATGATTCATTCCATGTCCTTCAAGCTCTAGGGTTGCACCAGGCGTTTCTTGGCATGTTCGCCTTCAGTTTTGGCGCAAGTTAGCCCCTCTGATCGGTCTTCCCTCTTTGTTGGCCAGTTCACTGGGGCTTCGATTGGTCACAAAGGGGTGCTTAATGGAGGGTAGGGGTGCCCATTATCCACTCACTTAGGGACTAAACACCACCCCTTTGTGACTCCTGGTAGTTAAATCTTTGCCCAGGATCATATCTGAGATTTAGAGTTGTGACCCCAAACTGATTCATTGGGCGTTCATGCCATTTCTGGCACATCATGCCAAGCATGGCCTTTTCTGTGCCCTTGAGAAGCTGCACCGGCGAAGCCAACGATGGCGGGGTCCGCTGTCCAGTACCGCGATCCCCAAACCCCTAGCTGACAGGAACGGAGCAAACGGGTCAAACGGGTCAACCCCCGAAATCAGCTCCCAAAGGTCCTTCAAAAGGGAGCAGAACATACAGCAGAACATGACAGAACATAACAGAACACATCCATCAAAACGAAATGCTACCTCTGCATTGAGGCGAACAAATCTGAGTGGTACTCGCATGGCGATGGCATAAATTGGTTGACCATGTAATCCCAAATGCTCGTGTCAGAATCGGAACATGAGAGATGTCGGTGAGCTCTTGCCGTTTAAACCTTGTAAATCAAACCGTGCCCAGCTCATAACAAGCCGAAGCTATACATAACTGTTCGCTCCTCAATCGCAGTGACCATTGCACTTGACAACATGTTGATGGATTTTCACTGTGGGAGTGGCTACAGTTGACAGTAACCATCACCCACTTCAATAACCTGGCATGCTCATCGAAGTAGCATGCAACGTGCTGCCACCACACGAGGCCGCATTCGAGCTCATCTTGTTTTTGGCACGTGGACAATGTGTCAAAACCTCCTCCCCGAGCTTCAACTCTCACTCTGTCCGATGGCTGCGTTCGCGCTCGCGTCTCTTCAGCTCTTCGACATTGCCTCTCACGCGACGGAGGAGGCAGGACGCGACTCTGTGCTTTCGATGTGATGGCAAGCGGCGCTCGGATGACAGAGCCATCGAATTGGGAGGAATAATAGGCCTCCTTCAGGCTAATGAATCTGATCCAACAAAATACATTATGAGACATCATAAGACCCTGCTTTAGCCCAGGATGGGTGCGCGAAGTTCCGTCCTCCCGGATTTCCACATGCCGCCGAGGATGATTGGCAAGGTCAAGGGGCTAGTAACATAATAATGCTATTCAGTGCCCCTGTGTAGAAACCTCCTGGCGCACACATCCTGGCGACTCTCCTTTTCCTGCGCCCGGCGCGTCCCGAACGTCGCTCGGTGGTTCGTCCCGAGCCCCGGCCTGGAAGGCGAACAGTCCAGTGGCAGCCTCAAAGGCGTCCAGTCAGGCACTTCACGGACGGAGCTGGAAACTCCAAGGGGAGAGGTCTCGAAGGTCACCATAGGACCATAGGATGGGTGACCTTGTCAGGATAGATATAGCCGTTTTGCCAAACATACTTTCAATAAGACACTGCATTTGCCCCTCTTGCAGCCCACACCCATACACCCACACAGCATCACACACTCATCTCTGGGGTGCCAGGCATACAAGGCTGCAGCCATGAAGCAGCCCATGCCTGCCTCCGGCTTCTTCGCCTGAAGCAGCCCATGCAGCCCATGCCTCTCCCAAAGAACCGCCCAGCGACCCCATCAACGGCGCCACACCGAAGGCACCTCAGGGATTTCCATCATCGGAGACCTCGCCGCGATCGGTGCGCCATGAAGAAACACCGATCGATGCGATGAAGGAAGCAAGGCATCCAGGCAGGCATCTACCGAAGAAGGGGCGGCCAAAAACAAAAAACCTATTGCCACTTCCCAGCTCCCTGAAGATTGGACATCCGGACAAGTTGATCCATCCGGAACATGCTCATCCAAGGCAAAGATGCACTTGCGGGCCATCTCTTTCATCTCTTTTCACTATGCACACCATGAACAACCACAAACAGGAAAAACAACACAATGTTAAGTTGTTAAGCACTGAACACATATAAAGTTAAATATAGAAATGCAACTCATCTCAGCCTTTAAATGCCTTTAAGGAATCGTTGCCCCTTCTTCTTGGCATCCTAAGGGGCTTACGGTTCGAGATGTTGGATCCGGAAGCCACGGTGGCGGATCCGGGCGTCCCGTGCCCAGAAGAACAAAGCAGTCCGAAGAAGATCAAGACCGGCACGGCCACCGCTGAGAGGATGGTCTGGGCACGCCACGGCAGGCGCCACTTGATCTCATCGGCTGGGCTGGGCTGCCTTTGTAAGGATGGTTGGAGAGTTACTTTGGAACACCAGTTTTAAGGGTCACTTTGGAACGGCCTAGAACATGGAAGGGTGGACAAACGCCAAGTGTAAGGAGATTTAGAGGGCGTATGGCGTATGCCAAGCTATTCCAGAAGTTGAGATGGCGTGTTGTCAAAGAGAAACGCTGTTTAACCATGTTTTGAGTGATCAAAGCCGTGAATCTATGCAAAGATAGACCAAAACGAGGATATCTATCACCAAGACCAACTATATAGATTGAAAGCAACATTCTATGATCCACGCCTTGATTCCATGAATCGATCAGACCCTTTTACGACCTTATCTGGTCATCCGGTCATCCCTCTTCAGCCCAGGTACACAGAAGGTCGCGCAGCCACCGGCCATGTTGTCTCACGATCGCTCGCCTCAGCGACGTTCGCTCCGGGTTTCCGTTTTTCTCCGTGCTGCTGAACAGCGAGGCGGCGAAAGCAAGGAGTGAAGAACGCTCCTGGATGGGAGCTGCCATAACGCCATACATCGCCATACGACCGCCTTTCCAACACTGTAACGATGGTTTTTCCGCATTGCGCTCGGCCCCCAGCTTCTGGGTGGTAACTCAAAAATGACATCTGAATTCACCTTTTGAGGGCTCAAAGCGCCGAGATTCGTTGTAGTCACCAATCCACGAAGTCATCCGTGTCTCCCCCTGTCTCCTCTTCCCCCCTCCGCCACCTGGATCGTGCTCTATGGAGGAGTCCCCTGGAACTGGTTGAGCCACATGAGGTGCGCGGCGACGAAACGACGAAGCGATGGAGAAGCCATGCCACACAGCTCTATATAGTGAGTCCAAAGCTTTTGGAACATGGAATTCTGGCTGGGAATTTTGGACGTATATGCACCTCCGCCCAGCCTCACATACCTTTCACATTCTGGACTTGTCGCATAAGTCCATGACATGAGTCATGGACGTTGGAACAGGTGTCGGGTTGGAACAGTTGAAGCTTCGGAGGTGATTTTGCTGACTTACAAAGGATCTGAAATCAGATCTCAGAGCTCTCACGCAAAACTCCCAGGGTAAGGCTTCAAGGTGTAGAATGGCTTCCTTCACCCAGACTCGGTGGGAGGCCGGACACGCTATATAGGCCCGCTGGGCCGAATCAGCGACGAGTTGAAGCTGATCTTGAGTGGGGTTCGTTCAAACAACCTGCAGGAAGCGCATCAAAAGGTGTCGCGTTCAGAACACGTCAACATCATCCCGAAGAAGCCCTCAACATAGGTTGAGGTCATGCCGTGACGATGTTGAACCAATGGTTTGGTCAATCAGCTCACGGGCTGAAACGAGTCCATCTCATGCATGTGCGTCCGACGCCATGTGCGTTTTGGACGGTTTCTGTCGAATTAGCCACCTTTGTCACCCCGTTTCAACCGGGGCAGCCTCTTTTTCTTCCATCAGAAACGAGTCTTTGAGATCCAAAGCACCTTCAGACCATCTCCTCTCGGCCGGCGGTGTTTGACCAAGCCAAGCGATGGAGAGCCTTCAGGCAACAGCTCTGAGTGGTTCACCCCGGCACGTCGTATTGGATGAGACATCGTGAAGAACCGAAGAACAAACCGCAGGGAAAACCAACTCACCAACCATGAGTCTTGGAGTCTTGGGTGTGAATCTGCTGAATGGAATGATTCCGCTCCGCTGACAATTGACAGCGCCTTGCCAACTGCTAGTTGAAACGCGACACACACACACACACAAAATCTCATTAAACCCCAACGAAAGGCACAAACCATGACATTGTTATGGCTTTTGTATTGCGCCGGCCAAGTGAATTGAAGCACAGCTAGGGTGACGACTAGCATCAGGGGTGATCAATCATGAGAATCTGCAAAATCCAACTTTGTACAATGTGTTGAACAGCTCTTGAAAAGCAAATCGTCCTGTGTTAGATGTTATAGTAGATTAGTAGATGTGAACCCTCAAGCTGGAGAATGAGATAATACAGACTATGGACCACTCAAACCAATCTTACCATTCACAAAACGAAACGTCGTACTTTCCTCACATGGCCAGGCATGAAGTCATTCAAGTCGAAAGCCTTTCCAAAGGACCTCCAGATCATCTGCTAGCACTCCATGTTTCACATGGTTTTCTATATCGAACGGTGAAACGTCACACATCTCGTCCGCAATTGGGACCCAGCAGGTGCTTGGCTCACGCGAACATGGCTCACATCAACCGGACTGGGCGAAGCCAAGGTAGAAATCAAGGGTCAGTGGTATTCAGTGGTCAGTGGTTAGACTTCAAGGTTTGACTATGCGTCATTTGTACCGACATGTTGGGAATGTCCTTGGCTGGACATTTAGCAAGGCTCTGAAAGGGCTCAGGATATCTCTGGATTTGTCACACCCCGTTTCATCTTGTCAAAAGACAGGGGGCTCAAACCGGGAATTGCAAGGATACAAGCTGCTGGAATTTGAAGATTCGATAATATGATTCCGTCAATGATGGGGGCGTCAAGAACCCAAAGGCCCTTTTATGTGACAGGATGGGATTTGAACATGCCTTTCGCATGCGAGACCGTCTCCTCTCTCGATACAGGCGGCCCCCAGTCCTACACCTCTGAAAAGCATGTCATGACAGGCTGTTCAAGGCTCAGTCTGGGCTCAGTCTATCTCGCGTCGAGGCGTCATACTGATCCTTGGAGGTGAGCAAAAGCCGAAGTCGCCACACCGCCGTCGCAGGTTTGTGGCGTTCTCTGACGGAGGTGACGGGGGGGGGTCTGTTTGCCAGAGTTGGTTGGGTGGGTCTGGGATGGTCTGGTATGTGCCTGGTTGGAACGACTCAGGCATGGCCAGCCAACATGTCGTGTTAAATGGACATCGCCGCATGGACATCGCTCTATGGGATATGCTCATTCCTTCGAATCACTGGAAAGGGTCAGGCTCCTCCACTGCTGAAGAGGCCTGTATTGAACACCTTAGGTAGAAAACTTGCTTCCCGGCTTCCCTATAACTCAGCGTACCCTGGAGAATCTGAAGACATTGAGAGCCCGTGGCACCAGGAAGAATGCCTTCCTCTTCACCCATCCGATCGATCCACTCGATCAGCGCCAGGATGCTTGGGACCATAGGGCTTCATTCAGGTCCCAGGTATAGGATCCTCAGCTGGCACTGTCTCAAAGCAATCCAACCAACTATACTTACTTCATCTTACTTCCACATCTTCCACTCCACCAGACGTTCCAACCCTTCCCATTCCTTGTAACCCTCATATTCTCCCTTGAAAGCACCAAAAGAACATCAACCAAACACCACTCCCGCCCCCAGCGTGCCCCACTCCAACCCCACCCCACCCATCCACGCTCCCAAGCGCCCCGACGCTCCCAACCTGTCGAGCGGCCGGGCCCGGGCGTCTCGCCGGCGGTCTTGCTCCGCTCCGGAAGTCGCGCTTCGCCGCCGAAGCCGTTGGACTTGGTGATCTTCGAGGGCTCCTGGGCGGGTCTAAAAGGGAGGGAGGTCGGTCGGCGGTCCATGTGGGCGTTTGGAAGGGGATAGAGAGAGATCGATGATCGATCTATATCAAAGAAGTCATTAAGTCACTATGGTTTGAAATGGTCTTTGGCTGGCTATTACCTTTGAAATTTTGGAGGTGAAGAGAAGAGACACCATAGACCTCCGCTGTGCTGAAGATGACGGCTCAGCTTCCACAGATCTCTGGCCAAGAACTATATACACACACAGAGCGTCCTAATTTGAACTCCTGCGTGGCATCTTCCGGAAAGGGCCATCAACCATCCCAAAATCTAGCCATGGACTCTCGCCCGTGCGTGCGAGAAGCTTTCCGACTCAGGGACGACCCCCACGACTGTGACTAGACCATCCATGGGACATGGAATAATATGTGCCTACCTTGACCTCTGAAACCACCCTGAATGTAGGTCAATAGGCCAGTCCCATGATCTGGGCACGGGTTTCCAACCTTGTCCGTGCCCAGACCTTGTCCGCCATGTAGGCCGCAGGCCCGGGGCTTTCCACGTGCGAGGCAATGATCCACCTGAACCGGGCGATGCTGAACCCGTCACAGCCGGACGAATGAGTTGGATGCGATTCGGAGTGCAAGGATGTGACCTTCCTGCCACTGCAAGGACCAAGGAGGTGATACTGAGTCGCAAGCTTTCAGGCTTGCCAAATGAAACCTTTCAGGCCATACCCGATGACATGTGGCTCGTTCGGAAGGTTTTGGTGAGACTGATCTGCTCCCCATCTCCCCCCATCTGTCTGCGGCCTTGTTGATCCTGACGGCGACGAGAACGGCTGATGAGTGGACGAAGCCGAAGCGCCGAGACACCCGGGGGTTCGATCTCTTAAGATGTAGATCCCAGGCACTTGGAACATCGCAGGGAGAGGTTTGTACCAAAGAAAGTGACTAAAGGATTGCAACTTTAGTCTGAACTAGTCAATTCAAGCGACTATAGTGACTAAAGTGACTAAAGGATGACTAGGGGGTTGCCCAGTATATTGAAAGTCATTTCGTGATACGGTTCAACCATTCCAAGCGCCATGCCCCTATATTCATGACAAACCTGAACACCATCCTTGAGTGCCCGGGGTGGTCACTGGCTGTCAAAAAATAGCTCTGTACCTAGAAAGAGTGGAGGACATAGTCCATTGCAAGTCAGCCACCTACCCTCGGCAAAAAGAACTATAGGGTTGCTGTAAGATGTTCAATGCATCCGCTTTTCTCATCTGTTTGCCGCCTCATGTTCAGCCAGTGGTTGCAGGTTCCTCGTTCCTCTTCTGATTTGGTAGAAGGGTGTGCAAACTAGCAGTTGCCAAATGCTGCAAGGTCGGCATCCCCAAAAGTTGATTACAAACCCAAACACGGCAGATCAAAGAAACACGCCTCAACAGTTTTATCCTCAGGTGTCACCTCCCATCCCAAAGCTCACTGGACGACAGCATATACCTCACACCGTGAACGGAGGCGATGAAAAGTCACACGTGACGTTCGCCGCGTCCTTTGTAGAAGGATGTGCCGCAATTCAAGGTCTCAACCGCCTCGCTCGGGAGCGCCAATGCGGGCGAAAGGACGTGGGAACCCCAAACAAAAGAGGCCGCCATGGGTGAAAGCTGTAAGGTCTTGAAAACATGAAGCCCAAAGGACATGAATTCAGGAAAACACATCGATCAATGATGAATATAGACATCTAATCAGTCATCTTGCAGCAGTTACATGAGTGCAGTACAATATAGTACAATTCGAGAATCAAACATGGCAAAAGGTTTCTCGTTCCACACGTCCACTGAAATGGTGGCCAACCGTCCGGCCAACCCTCCCAACGGCCTCTCCACACTCCACACTCCGCCACAAACGGCATGATATTAATGCATGTATAAGCTCTTAATGAAATTACAGAACCCCCACCCAACAACATGGATGGTCACATCTCTTCAGGCCTGGGAGGGGTTTCACATGTTTGGGGTGAACTACCATCGGACCCGACTTCATTGGTACCCTAGAAACTGGGACACGAACCCAAGAAAACCAACTGGTACCTGGTACAAGCACTTGGAGGCTTCCTTTTTCCAAGGCCAACGAAGCTCCGTCGTCGTTCGTGGGGACTTCGGCAGCCGCCCGGCGCCTTCACCGGAGTGTAGGCGCCTGGGCCCGGAGTCACCTGTAGGCGCTGAGTGTCGGGTGGGGCGCCTGGAACCGCGAAGGTTCACCATGAGGTTGAGAGACCAGAACGTTCGGACCCTGTAGTGGGTACATATGGGATGGGCGAAAATGGGCTGCTCAAGCTCTCTAGGACTCTAGGGTAGCTTAACATGTTGTTTAACATCCAGCAGTGTTTAGGCCTTGATGGGTGTGACTTGTGGATGTTATAATTGATGATCATTGATGTGTCTTTCCAAAACGACAGTGGATTGGAGATGGATCTACCACGATCACAAGCTGTCAGGATGAAATGTAATCGACAAGTTCCCTTCAACTATCCCATCCCCTGGGACAAATCACTCACTCTATATGAATGATAATAATTACAAACCATGGAAGCTGAGTGACCTCTACTATGGACCACCAGCCACCTAAAATGGTCTTTTCATGTCTTTTCCCAAAATCTGTATCAACACATGGCTCACCCAGCCACCGCCAACTCCTGTCTTGGCCATTTCCGAGGCACGTCCGACACGCCAGGCAGCTTCCTGAGCGACCGAGAAGGGTGACGACGGCAGCGACTGCGTCATCTATACGAACGGGGCTCCTGGGATCGCTACGAACGGAGCAAGAAGCTACAGAAAAGGCTACTAGAAATGGTGATACTCTCTTGTCTTTACATGCTGTACACCCGTTACAGTGCGGGAAGAGGCCCCCCATATTTTCCTACCCGCTGATGGTTTGTGCCTCTCAAAAGGGAGCACGCTAAACAAGGACTTCCTCATCTACTCGATCTATTCGAGAGGGAGTCAAAAGCGTGGCAATTCACACCCTTTTCTAATACTCTGGCGTGGCCGAAACAGCTTCATTGGAGAGCAGAAGCGGCCTCTGACAAATTCATACAAATTCTAGTGGTATTTTGTGGGCCAACTCCTGCCATGAGCGGGAGGGTCTAGGCCTCTACGCGAAAGACCTGCTCATCACCACTCAAAAGGTTGACTTCTTCTTGCTGAACTTCAAGTTGGGTCACCCCGAAGCACTTCTCTTTCTTACAAACCCTGCCAGTAGCTTGCGGTTTGCAGCATGCTGTACTGAAAGCAGGTCGTCCAATTCACGCCCAACATGCAGGAGCAAAACCACCTCCCAACCAAAAATTGGCCAGCTAATAACATCCACCGCCGTTCGGGCGACACCCTCCCCCCCCCAAAAAGGAATAGAACATACCCGACCCCTCCCGACCTCCCCCCCCATCCGCAAGCTACATCCCCAGCTGCACGGAGGTTTTCTCACCGATGCTGCGGCGTTCGGAGATCGCTAAGGGGTTGTGAGGCGTGTACCTCGCCCCGTTGGCCGCGCCGCTCGGACTCGGGTCGTGGGGCGTGCGGGTTGTGCGGTGCCAGGGGCAAAGGGGTGGGACTTCAGGGGTGGGTGAAATTGGAGCAAACCGGTAAAGAAGTGCGGGTGAAATATGAGAGAACAAACAACATATCTAACTTTGACTTGGGGGAATGGAGAACGTTGATTCCTGTTGATTCTGACATATTCTGACTGACTTGCTCTTGCTGAAGCTCTGAGCAAGAACGCGCATAGTATGATTTAGCTTTTCGTGCTTTTGTATCTCAAGCCAAGTCATCAGTCCCAGGTTCTGCCTGGGTGATAGCTGACTGCCGGCGAACGCCATAACCCAACCGCAGGGAGGGAAGGGAGTACTGAATCAACAACACCCAATCAGTTGCATGCGCCTGTTGTGATTACCCTAAGCAGCACCACCAACAACCAATGGACTTAATTGTGCTACTTACTTCAAGAACCCTAATGTTTACGCTTCTTACTCTGTTCCAACATGACACTTGCGGTCTACAGCGGATCGGATTGACACGTCCATTTTGCCTGGCAGGTACAGCACGGTCAGATTTCCACACCCGTTTAAATTGATAATCCTTATAAGGCTTTCAGGTGTGGAAATCTGACCGCAACTTAGGTGTCGACATGTTGCACGTAGGATTCTAAGGGGAAAGGGTTTGTCCCGTTTTAGAAGTCAAGAAGCGCAACTTTCGGCACCCCAGTGTATGCCAAGTTTGGCGTTGTCTTCACCCATGAGTACAGCGTCTCAGGCCTGCCAAAACAGCTGTCATTGGAGTCGGTGGAGTTGGAGAAGAGAATTCCCAGTGACTATCCGGGACTGCGAGTCTTGAGGAAAATGACGTGTCGTCGTTAATAAACACGACAAAGACCCTCCAAAGAGGTGTCTGTAAATAGCCTCTTAGAGGTGATTCGGGGTGCCCAAAAATCCCCTGTTGGAAGGCCGTAGTAGAGTTTTGGGCCTCTTGAAAAGCACCAGCCAAACCACGCACGTCATGCGTTAGGTAGACGTAGGCCAACTGCGCACTGGCAGGGCCCAGGGGTGTCGTCCATGTTCCTGGCGGTGCGGCTTCGCAGCCAGCAGGTCAGCCAGCATGCAATGGTCATGACTCATGACAACCCTCTTGGACCCCACCCTTCCCTGCGCCATCCAGCCTTCTATGTTGGTCCATGAAGGGAGGAGGTTGGGTAGCCCAAATAAGGCATTCCGTTTGGTGTCCAAAACGTGGGGAGAGAGAGAGAGAGAGAAACAGTGAGCCCCGACGGGACATCGCCTTTTTAGCAGTCCCGGGCCGTCATCACAATGCAGAATTGACAAATAGAACGAGACGCCTCCTGACCAGGTCCATATTGTCCATGAACTGCAAGGGGTAGGTGGAGATGATCAAGAAAATTGATGTTAAGAAAACGAATACTACATACCAGTACGAGCAAAGAACGCAAGGAACACGAAAACGTGACGAGTTGGAAGATTCTTCATGGGCGAACGCGAGGTGATTTCGAATCGGTGTTCTTTGATTTCAGAAACCCACGCTGCCCCCAAACACAGTTTTTGGGCGGTTCTGGGAGAAGGGGGAAGACCCTTCAGGGTGAGTCTTAGAGGTGGGATGTACTTCCAAAAACTTCCTGTGGGATGTACTGCCAGTCATCTTGACGTCCACTGTCCTCAGTGCAATGACCTGCAAGAGTCATAAGCTTCTTGAGAGAACTCCTGACTGGAACTAAAGATCTTATTCAGCGCGGCATTTTGGGGTAGCACGGCCTAGTATTGCAGTATGACCGGCAGCATTTCAGGTTTAAATATGGTTCCTAGATGGAGGATGGACTGTCCATCCAAAAGGTGAACACATTCGAGTAAATTGTGGAGATGAGTAATTACTGCAAGCTGAAACCTTTCTGGAAAGGATATTGCCTATGGAATCCCTGTGTTAGATGCTCCTACAAGACAAGGACGTGTTTGATTGTAAAATACTATCCAAAAAATATCCGGTGAACTTCGGGGAGAAGTCTTCAAAACATCTTGGAACACGTTGAAAAGGTGGACACGCTTTAGACCACGTACATCTGCCCGGTGGATTCCACTCACTAACAAAAACATGCTAGCTAGTGGGATTCAATCTTCCCAAGTAAAGGTCCCTAAAGAATCCAAGTACCAGGTGTTTGGGGTGGGTGCCAGGAGGCTCCAAGTACCTTTTGAGGAGGCACGACTGGATCCCTAGTAAAGGTTGAAGAACTGAAACTTCCACCCAAACAGATTTCGTTTCAACATGTTTCAACTCTATCTGAAACTCCGACAACATATCTGAAACTACCACCACCAAGGATTCAATCCACCCACACATCTGTTTAGATTTGGTGGATTCGACCCCTTCGCGAACGAACCCCCAAGAGGCACCAAAACGACGCCCCCCACGCCTGCTAAAGCGCCGGGCTCGGCCGAACCTACGTGAGCAGGTCGTCAAGTCCAGGCTTCTCTGAGAGTTGGTGTCATTTCCGTTATTCCAATTGAGGGTTGGTTGGTGAAGAGTCTGCAGGGTAAATTCTGACCCTAAGGGTCCAGGACCATCCGAATCGGATGTACCCCCCGTTCCGTACTCACCTCCATTCGACCATCCGAAAAGGAGGTACCTGGACCGGTTAAGGAACCTGTTGGATTCATAAGGAACATGCCCTGGAAGATTGGTTGAACACGACCGACGATTCGGTGAGTTAGTTGTTCGAACACTACTGAGCTGCCACATGCGGAACTAGACCAAAGGCTCTGTCACGTTCTGCCTAACAGTCATGGAGGCATTGCTTCTGCAATTCTCCGCAGCGTTTCTGAGGTCCCCATGACTTCAAGCCAACCTAGCAAGCCTAGCTGTTTCTTGTGCCATGGAGTGTTCTATCAGCTCCTCTTCCAATAAAGATGGGGTGGTCACCTTTAGGACCTAAGACCTAAGACGCAAGGACCATTGATCACGTGTTGTCACTTACAATGTCGTGCTTTGTTGATGCATCACATCATAGGATCGATGCGCATCACTGAGGTTGCTACCTCTTTCAGCGCCATTGATGGGAGCCAACAACCCGAAAGTCGGGTCGAGTAATGATACATCACTGAATCACTCATCCCATGAAATTACCCCAATTGTAAGCCAAGCTAATAATGTGCAAAGCAGATTTCTGTGATTTGAATGTCTAAACTTTTAAACAGGTGTATTAAACATATTACTAAAATATAATTAGACTGGATTTTGGTGGAGCTTCATCAGCCTGCGCTCGCAAGTAGTAGGGCACCTGCAGTCACCCATGCCAAAGCATAAAGAACGACAAACACACTAATTAATTTAAATATGTGTGTGTGCCTCTATTGTTTCTTTGTGTTTTTTGTGTGTGGAAGGGGGGGGGCCATCACTAGAACCGTCCGCATGCACGGCGAATCCTCAGCCCACCCTGCACCCCCGTGCGAAACGCCCGCCGTGCGAAACGGCCGCCCCGCCGGCCTCACGTGCTTCGTTTTGCGCTGCACCGGGCTCGCGGGGGGCGCCACGTAATCGGCAGGGCCCGGAGAGCTTTCCATCCTCGGACGGCTCGGTGTGAGCATGAGCTGTGGTCTGGAGAGGGGTCTGATGGGCATGTCTGCACAAAAATGCCTCGTGCCAAGAGTTGAATAGAAGTGGAAAAGCATGGGAAAAGCTGAAAAGCATAAGGACCTCTTCAAAATGCAAAGTGATGCCAACTGCACGAGCCCAAAAGCATCACGAGTGTCAAAGTACCGTAAGTGACCAGTAAATGAATCCTAGCTGACCGTGTTCAGCTCACTGTTCCAGGATGTTCCAGGACTGACCCTGAAGAAGAAGGGTGGCGTTCAAAAACGTGAAAACCGTCCCAGCGCCTCACAACGAGTTCACTAGAGTTCCTAAGCTCGCTCATTCCATAGGCCTCCGGACTGGTTACCACTGCGGCTGCCGATCTTCAAGCTCACCGCTCTCCTCAGAGGTGAGCAAATTTCACTCTGTGGAGCATGTTTTTTGATTTTGTCCGGTGGCGCATAGATGCGTAGATGGTCTGTGGGCTCTCTCTGGATTCTGTCGCTCCGGAAGCATGGTTTTGTCGATGTTACACATAGTCCATCGTTCTAGAGTCTTTATACTTCTTGCCACCAGCTCCAGCCTGAAAGTCACCCCGCTTCTTTCGATGCAAGAAAGCTGTATACAGACGAGCCGAGCGGCGCTCTCTCCCTCACCGTCACGCCCCCGTTTTACGCCCAGTCACGTGCTCTGAGACAAGAAGTGCGGGATCTCATACTGCCCTGGCCCAGGCAGATCTCGCGCCCGCCGCATCCCACCCTGGAGAGAGAAAGGGAAGCAGCTCGTGCTCCCGGAGATGGGGAGGTCTGTCGGGTGGAGATCCATTTGCTATATCCAGTTCGTTTTTTCTCCATTCTGGGATCAAACCGCGGGGGGCAGGCTCAAGATGTAGTAAATCAAGATATGCAGTTGGACACCTTTTTGGTGGTTCTCAAGGACGTTTGCCTCTTTTAGGGGGCAATTCCATGCAATTCTTACTTTCACGTCACATGCGCCTCCGAGTGTATACGTTCCCTATACACCATTGTCAAGCTCGCCTTGTTTCATGAAGAAAGACTTCTCCGACTAATTACACAATACCACACACCATCCGGTGTTGATGGGACATTCTTTATGTACCCCTTGCCGTTCCCAACTTCCCCAGCTAATGCCAGGCACACGGATCTCCGGTGAGTCCGGGCCTGCAGAAAAGGAACTCAATCGACCATCCTATGCCATGGATCTCGCATCATGGCTGAGCCGACCAATGGCGGATGGCGAGAGCATTCAGTTGAGGGTTCATCCATGAAGCCACGGCGCGTAAGCCGTGAAGCCACGACGCGGCTGGGTGTTTGGTGTGGCAAATCTGTGTAGCATGGCTTGGTTGCAGCTGCAGTAAAGCCTCTATGAACCCCTAGTCCAACAAGAAATCACAACCTCCAAACCTCCCAAGAGGCGGGGATGACATGTGTTTCTCCAACAATGGTGCACCAGTCAGCGCGCATCTCCAAACAAAGATGGTTGAAAGCCACTTGGCAATTGGTTGGCCTAGCTGGGAGCAACCCGGCCTTGAAGAGAAGTGGAATTCAAAAATGTACCGTTGAATTGGGACAGTTGCTGTTGGAGCAGCAACTTGCAGTTGAGCAACCTCCGATTTGCACAGTTCCCGGTTCCTCAAGGGATTGAACATGTTTGAGGGAGATACACCATAAACACACTCATAAACACATTGTTGCGACCGAATGGACATCTGGAGGCCGCTTCCGCTTCTTCAATCCATTGCCATCCTGGAGTCTTCTAATCAAATCCTTGAATTCGGTCCAGCGCATGGCCTGCAATCTTGGCGTTCATTTTCTTCAACTCCTGCCACGACACTGGCGGCTTCTTTGTCTCCATCTCCTCGTCTGCCTCCACTGTGCCCTCTCTCGCAGCTTCTGTGGTGGCAATACCGGCCAAACGATCTGCCAGCTCATCCACTTTGCTTTGGGCACGGGCCTTTCGCTATTGATGCTTCTTCCGGACCTTTCTTCGTGGCAGCCTTGCCACTCTTTTTTGCGTCGGCGTCTTAGCCATGGCAGTGGGCAAAACAGCTTGTGCCAAAGGCCAAAGCTCACTAACATATTACTGACATGTACAGGCGGCAAAGAACACTGCAAAAAAAAACAAAGGAACCAACGAGACAGCAACACAATAATAACATAAGAATTCCAAGTTGCCATTGGATAATGAACTGAACTGTGTATTGGACAGCTGCAGTCTGCAGTCTCAACGCTCCACCATCTCAAGTCCTTCTACCTGAGCCATCGAATCAATGGAGTCCAGCCAAATCAACAAACAATTCCTGTGTCAAGTACCACTAGTCACTATTATAGGGAGTCCTGGCATAGCCACCAGTTGGGTGGTCCTTCACTGAGTAAAAATCTTTGCAAGTTAGTTACTAGACCGCGCCATTCAAAAGTCCCAAAATTGCAAAGCACTGAGGAACTAATGTAGTCTCTTGATTCATAAACCCGAGAGGCAAAAAAGGTTGTTCATTTCAGCATGCAATAGTGTTTGCCAGCATTATGAAACACAGAAAGCTCAACTTACCGAAATTTATAAATACCTACTCGACTTGTCTTGCGAAAGGATGAATAAACTTGAAGAAAACAGTCAATCCACCAATAGACAGGTCCAGATCGACGATGCGCAACGCACAGCCACAGGGGAAGAAAACTCAGAGAGTTCGACATTGACCCAATCTTTTGCCAAACATTTAGCACAATTACGTGACTGGCCAGCAGCGCGCATTTTATTCGATATGCCAGTTGAACCACATAGAGTTGTGTTCTGGTCTTGCCCATGGGCCCATGGGGGTGCAATTACGCCAGGTTGGTATGGCAATTCTGTAACCTAATTAAGTGGCCAGCAGAAACCGCAGCTCCCGTTCCAAAAGACCCAGGCATCTCGTGGACAGAATTAACCGTCTCGTTTATGTTGTGGGCAGGACGCCTGCTACCGATTCGAGTTTCTGACAAAACCTCCGCAGATATCCTTGAGTATAATGATCCTAAGACAGCAGTACAACCTACCAAAATGAAATCCGTTCGTGTCTTATCGGAGACATTTCGTCCAATAGTCAAGCACATCCAAACATTTTCACGCGCTAAAATCCTTCCTGCATACAAATTGCAAGGGGCCTCTAGCTTGACCCGCTTGGGGTTCTCTCGGTATCATGAATCAGGAGTCTCACGACGCCCTCTCCTCCCGAATCCAACGGAAACATACAAGTACATGCAGGAACTTGTTCTTACCATTCCCCATAACCCACCGTTCCATAATGAGATTCTGCCTCTCCCTATTTCGACAAACGAGCAATCACCAACCTGGCCTGAGTGGCCTGAAGTTGCCATGAATAAGAGGGAGAAATTCACCCAACACATCCGATATTACCTGTTTCGAAAAAAGAGCTTTGATCTTGTGATCCACCCTGGTCCAAATTAGGTTGAAGAAACCTGTTAATTCATCCAAATTAAGTAAAGGAGTACCCTCGAAGAACTGCTTGAAGACATCATTTCCCACTGCTCGTTCGCCTGTCCATTTCGTAGTGTACATCTTTTTTTGGATACTAGTTGTTCCGGTAGGGTCTCACAGACTACCTCCACCGCCACCAGTCACAAAACGTGACAAGGGGGCGAGTGGATGCGCGCCTGACCTAGACAGTCCGCAAGTTCGTTCATCCAAATGGGCGGGGTCTTGTAATCAAAGAGTTTATACATGACCCCGCCGATCCGTCGATCTTCGACCTGACACTAAACCTCGCTGCTTGGGTGTCCCTCTGCTCGGTTCGTTTCGGTGTGTTCCGCCGCTCGGTGTGGAGGGCAGCGTTCGGTCCGTCCACACACCATCCGTTCCAACAAGGGTGAGAGATCAAAACAATAATAGTTTATCAAGGAAAAATATTCTACACGCATCAATTAAAAAAAATACTGACTCAAAAAAACTATTCCAAATAGCAGTAGCAGTAAGAGTAGCAACAGTACTATAATAGCAGCAGTATCGTAGTGGTAGTCGTAGTGTTTCGTGGCAGGTGCAGTACTTTGTAGACCTTGCAATGCACATTTCGTGGCAGGTGCAGGACTTTGTGGATGTTGAAGGGCAGAGTTGGTGGCCAGTGGCAGGCGCAGGACTTTTTGGGACCTTGAAGTGCAGATTTCGTGGCAGGTGCAGGACTTTGTGGCCC